AAAATGGAGTATGGAACCCTCCTACTTGAAATTAATATATTAAACCCTGCCTTATTCTTTGCAAGAACATAAGAGAGCTAGAGAGAGAGAGGGGCCATTGAAATGGAGCAAGAGAAGGCAGTGATTATAGTCGGGGCTGGCCCGTCCGGCCTCGCCATGGCCGGATGTCTAAGCCAGCTTGCAATCCCATACGTAGTCTTGGAAAGAGAGGACTGTTTTGCTTCCCTGTGGAAAAAGTATTCATATGACCGTCTCCACCTCCACCTTCAAAAGCAGTTCTGTGAGCTTCCCCACATGCCATTTCCACCTTCTTGTCCCACCTACGTGCCCAAGAATCAGTTTATCCAATACTTGGACGACTATGTGTCCCGTTTCAAGATTAGTCCCATCCTGTACCACAGAAATGTTGAGTCTGCAAACTATGATGAAGCTTCTGAGAGATGGGTTGTGAAGGCGGTGACTAATAGTAATACTGGTGGCTCTGGTGAGATGGAGGAGTATTTTGGGAGGTTTTTGGTGGTTGCTACAGGGGAAACAACCAACCCATATACACCAGAGGTTCAAGGTTTGAACACTTTTGCTGGGGATGTTCTTCACTCAACTCAGTTCAAATCTGGGAAGGGGTTCAAAAACAAGAACGTTTTGGTTGTTGGGTCTGGGAATTCCGGGATGGAAATTGCTCTAGACCTAGCAAACCTTGGTGCGAAGGCTTCCATCATCGTTCGAAGCCCGGTACGACTTCACCACTTAGATTAGTTTAATTTAGAGTAGTTTAGACTATAATTCGTATAAAAAATTCCTTTCATGTTTAATATGATAGTTATGTGATATGAATGCAGATCCATGTTTTGTCAAGGGGGATGGTTTACTTGGGCCCGGTTTTGTTCAAATATTTTTCGCTAAACATGGTGGACTCTTTGGTGGTTTTGCTTAGCAAGCTGGTTTATGGAGACTTAACCAAGTATGGGATAGAGAGGCCAACAGAGGGTCCCTTTTATATGAAGGTCAAGTACGGCAAGTATCCAACCATTGATGTTGGAACATGTAAGAAGATCAAGTCCGGTGAGATTCAGGTCTTGCCAGCAGAAATCAGCAGCATAAGAGGCAGCGATGTTGAATTGAAAAACGGCAAGTCGTACCAATTTGATGCAATTGTTTTCTGCACCGGGTTCAAGAGATCAACGAACTTGTGGCTCAAGGTGATGATTAAATAACAAATTAATCAAATTAATTAAAAGAAAA